TACAAGGCCTGGGTTAGCGGTTATAACGCTTGCCATTATAAACCGGTATTGTAACGGTTAATGCTAATCTAAGATGCGCTTTGTTTGCATATTTGATGTCGCGTCGCGCAGACCAGACAATATGCACGCCTACATAACCGAAACGCTGCTACTTCAGTTTCAGTCTAAACTGCCGCGTCGTTCCGTTCCAATTATCTCACATTGCACACGAATCACGATAATACGATATCAGTACCTAACCGTTCAACATACAAGACACCGTGCCCTTCCCCACATTTCAATGACCAGGGATACATGAGCAGAGTAGATGCGTATTTCAAATGGATTACAGTGCTGATAAATAAGAAAATCCCATCCTGATACGCATTTACTTGCTCATGTATTCGGGACCAATGTCCGTTCCCGTTCTCATCCTTCCAGAGTAATGCCATTCACTCCCAGCATCATCACTGCCGGCATCCGCACAACCCTCTCTCTCCCTCCCTCCCTCCCCGCCTCTCTCTCTCTCTCTCTCTCTCTCTCTCTCTCTCTCTCTCTCTCTCTCTCTCTCTCTCTCTCCCACCGTCATCCCCTCCGTACCTCATTGTCCTTATTGTTGCGGATTCCGCGCACCAGGTCGGTGAGGTTCTTGTCGAACAGCCGCTCCAGGTTACCACGGATGTTGCGGATGGCCACATCCATAGCGGCCGAGCGGCAGCGGCACCGGCGGCGCTGGTAAGGTGGTCACCTGAAAAAAAAACAAAGTAAGCGTCAGGGTAAGGGTCAAGATCAGAGTCAGGGTCATGGTCAGGTCAGTGCACCCGTACTCCCGATGTGACTGTAATTGAGAGTTCCGTGGGTGTCTATGTCAAATATCGTAAGCATAACGATCGCCTTCCGTGTTAGCTTTCATACAATATTTACGACTTGAAAATGACTGGCTCAGCCGTAGACCATTATAAATCGCTCAACTGATCGGAAGCCGGTGAGCTCAGTTTCCGCCTCAGGCATTGACAAATGCACTTTTATACCCAAGGCACCTGCAATTGTCAATGCATTACTCATGCAGACAGGGAGCCTAACTTTAAGTTATTGCGATTCCGGCCGTCGTGTTGGAAACTTCGGCAGGAAGTTTCCAAGTTCCATGGGCGCCAGTAGAGTCGCAATTATGAACGCTTGAGGAAGGAGTGAACGTAAGAAGGATCAATAAAGGTTAACTGTAGCGACCAAATGGTCACAAAATACCTGCCGATTCACATAGTAAGGTTCGGACCGAATAAGAGGGTAGAAGGGAACTGGAAGCAAACAAAGCCAATGCGTGGCTGAAACGTAACCTTCTGACTTTTTCACCAAAGCAAACAGTGTAAGGACGCTACCAGACTCCAGATTACACAGTTTTTTTTTTACGGACCCAACAACCTCCGCGACAATAAACAAATCACCAATCTCATGTTCCTTTTCAATCTACACCTTTCAAAGTTGCAACAAATCATATACACCACCGCTGACAAAAAATCAGTCCGTTCGGTTCAAACCATAACTACAAATCCACAGTGCTCCCGCCACTCGTATGGGCGGACACATGCAATCCCCGTGCGACAAATTGCACGGCACCGCCTTCGTGACACAATCAGGGGAGCGATCGGCGGGCTCTGCACAGAGACGTGGCCGGGCGGGGTCGGTCGGATCAGAGCAGCAGAGGTCTCCACGGTCGGACAGAGACGATAAAATGCAGCACAACAGGGCCCCTGGTGTAGATCGAGATGGAAGGCAGAGTAGACCAAGTATGGAAATGAGATAGCAAAAAGTGTTTTAGGACGCCCAGACTTAGGAGATCCTTGGCACCAAGAGGAAAAAATCGGAGATAAGATTTCACATATACCATAACTTCATATTTCACCGACACCGTTCAACTGTTGACTGTATCAGCATAGGTCCAATAGGTCCCCAAACCCGTGCATGAGAATACGCAAATCACAGGGCGGTACCCGCACAACCGCGTCCGAATTACCCATTCATGAATTGCTCTTCCTCGAACTGTCACGTATGACGGACCATCTGTCTCTCGTCTGTCACGAGGCACACATTTGGCTGCACCTGTGACCGAGACCGCCGAATGCACCGCCCCTTACTGGCCGCCCCGGGCAGCTGGTAATGTGGCAGTCGGCCGGGTAGGTACACTATCCGCTACTGAATATCGAATAACGCTGAATGGCGGCGGACTGCGCCATGACCGGGGTTTGACTCGGTAAGGCGCGGTGATTTGGAGAGCCCTCGGCCGTCACCGACGGAAAATGCAGATACGGGGTCGTTGGGGTCGTACCAGTACCATCAGCCAAATAGGCTAAACTCCCATTGGGTTTAGATGGAAGGAATTGAGTTAGCATAGAAACCCGCTGCATGCGAATGAACCAGCTTACAAAGCATAGGTAAATTCTGGTCAAGCCCAATCTCAGCGCAGAAGATTCACCCCATCAAAGTAGTGCAACGTGCATTCAAGATACATCATTTCTCCACAACCGCACTGCTGCAGCCATCACGGTCCTTGTCTACCTGCTCCTGTGCGTTCCCTCCCTCCCCCTCCCCTATCGGCGCGGAATTGTCAGACGCCGACATCCGACACCTTACACCCGACAGCCGTCATTGGACATCCGACACCTTACACTACACCCGACAGCCGGCATTGGACACCCGACACCTGGGGTAGACCGACCGACACAGCCGTCCGAGGGTCACGTGACACCGCCGGGCCGCTCAGCAAGCGGGGCGAGGCAATGTCACGTGATGCAGACAAATCCCGAAGGACTAGTGGTGTCAATTTCAGAAAACGTATGTCCAAAGTCCGTCCAATGTCCAATGCTTACGTCGATTGTCCGTCCAAAAATGTCCAAGCCAGCCATTTGTCCAAAGATGTCCGACACCTACGCAATAGTTTACACTCAACACTGTTATTTCATTTGCTTTTCATGTACCGCTACAAGCTCAAAAGTGTTAATCATATCGAAAGCTGAGCTTTCTAATAGCCAATCAATGTTAAACACGACTACTTTTTAAAAATGTTGAGATGTAGCAAGCGATTGTCCAAAGTTGTCCAAAGCCTGCGGCCATTGTCCAACCGAATTCCGAATTGGACATTGGACAAAATCGGAATTCCGAAGATTCAAGTTCCGATTGACACCACTACGAAGGACACACGCCGGGGCGCATCACGTGACACCGACAGGCTTTCTCAGCAGCAGGTCGTGTTGACCAGACATGACGTCAGCATGTTAGCAGACAGTACGGTGGGAAAGTCACGTGCCAACCACACCCCGTGACGGCCGGCAGGGCGTCTGGGCTATTATCATGTGACAAAACCTGTGGTCTGGCTATTCCGTCACGTGACCTGTGATGCCGGTGCCCGCTGGCAGTGCCACTGCCGGCACGATGCAGTCTCCGACGTAAGACCAACACAAAACTGCTGCAAAACGCGTCCTTCTTAGAACGAAACGGACATCAACGGATTAGAAATGGATCTGCGGCTGAGGCTCAGCTACGCGCCCCAAAGTTAGATCGAAGTTTCACTACTGAAGTGAATGACGGCACTGTCCTCTTAGATCTAATGCCTTCCTTGACCTCTCTCGCATATGCAAACCGGCTTCATATAGTGGACCACACGGTATGAACAGTCTACTCTAAACTCTCATATTGATCTCACCGGTATGAACAGTCTACTAAACTCTCATATTGATCTCACCATCACCACCAAGCTGAGATTCAGGAGACAGAAGACCTACCCAACAAAAACACCACTGGGAGATAGACACAACTTTGGCTAGTATGTACATCCTCTGCTGAACACATTCTGCTGTGGGTGAAGGGACATATCCCTTTCCACAAGCACAACCAACATACAACAGAAACATGCTAGCAAGAAGACTTGACATAAAGTTTGTCAAACAACATATATCGATATATCTAGTGTATTTGTAATGCACATTTTCAAACAAATGCATTAGGTAGTGAATTATTAAAAAAGGAAATGCTACTAAAAATCGCAACAAGAGAGGACTTTTGTTAAAGAAATGCTAAATATTTTAACAAGGTAGCTAAAAATCAAAATCATTTGACAAAAACTTAAAACAAGGTAAGAAACAGGAACTAATATGGCATTGAGATTTGAGCATGATCCTCGTACCACTGAACCGGGCCTGCTATCCATAACTATAAAAATATATGAGGAAAGAAAATGCATAAATAGGTAGCAACATGATGTGATGCGCATTTAAAATGGATGTAGGTATAACACACAAAAATTAAAACCACGCATGAAATATATGATTTTGAAAATTGAATGAAATAGTAATTTCACCAAAGCAAGCCTTAGATTGAATCAAAATTCTGGCAAAGTGACCCACCTTAAAAACGTCAATCCTTTTTCTCTTTAAGTCTGAAATGAAGAAAAAATTAATCAAACATCCACTAAAACCCTGTAACTAGCGGGACATACGGCACGGAATTGTCTGACCCCTGCATTTCAACATGCGCCGGTTTCGGACCGAAGAAGGCAATACAGCCATTCCAAGAAAGATACATAGAACACATACGGAACAAATTGAGGAGAACTTGGACGATATTAGCTTCGAAAGGTCCTCTGAAAAATGTTATCATAAATATCATAAAATACCTGTTGTGATAGAAACGGCAGGGCCGTATCGCGAGGCAAACAAGACGCACGTTTGTGACGCGTACAACTTTGGATTATTTTTCTTATCTTTCAATTTTGATGACGTCATAAACTTTAACAAATCATTTTCGGATTTTGATTAAGTTGAGAAAAATTGCTCAACAGAAATAAACGATATCAATTATGAAGTTAAAGTTTAAGCCAATTGAAAAATTGTAAGCATTTAATTGCCTGTTTTTTAATACCGAACTCAGTGAAAAGCTTGCATGTATCTAATTTTAGATTACGTCATTTTATACAGAATTCGTTTGCAAACACTACTTGCATTAGCCTTGGCCCTGGCGAACAAGCGGACAGTTTTCGTCGTTTTCGTTTCGTGCGTTGAGGTCGAAGTTGATAACGTGATCCGTCACGATCCAAGACAGGATCTTGGCAGGATCCATTCCAAGGTGGGGGCGGAAGTTGAATTTTGTCAGTTTTCTGTATACCTGCCTTTGTTTTGTTTGTGTATTGTGGGGTTCTATTGTGCTTATGCCCCTTCCTCCTCGAAAATGTCTAATGCTCTTTCAATTCAATAAAATTCAGGTCAAGGTGCTGCCGATTGCAATTGAGACTTGAGGCAGTAGGGTCGGTATCGGTAACCCTGGCGTCACCGGTAGCTTTTTCGTTCAAGGCTAAGGTTGCCTGTATCAGGCCGCCGTGCCAGGCTGAAGCATGCTGTGACGTCACTGGGTAAGAGAAGATAACGTAAAGAACGACTCGGGCAGACTCAAATCGACTCAGGCAGACTCAAACTGACTTGACCGACTCAAACCGATTCAGATCTACTCAGACTGACTCAAACTAACTCAGACCGACTCAACCGACTCAAATCGATCGGCTCAAATCGATTCCGATCGACTCAGACAGACTCAGGCAGACTCAGACAGACTCAGGCAGACTCAAACCGACTCAGGCATACTCAAACCGACTCAGGCAGACTCAGACCGACTCAGATAGACTCAGAACGACTCAAACTGACTCAGACCCACTCAACCGACTCAAATCGATTCCGATCAACTCAGACAGACTCAGAACGACTCAGACAGACTCAGGCAGACTGAAACCGGCTCAGGCAGACTCAGACCGATTCAGATCGACTCAGATAGACTCAGAACGACTCAAACTGACTCAGACTGACTCAATCGCCTCAAATCGATTCCGATCGACTCAGACAAACCCAGAACGACTCAGACAGCCTCAGACAGACTCAATGCGACTCAGGCACACTCAAACTGACTCGACCGACTCCAACCGATTCAGGTCTGATGATTCAGGTCAAACCGATGGGCCTGTCTGAGTCGGTCTAAATCGGTTTGAGTCGGTTGAGTCGGTTTGAGTTTGTCTGAGTCTGTCTGAGTTGTTCTGAATCTGTCTGAGTCGATCGGAATCGATTTGAGTCGGTTGAGTCGATCTGAGTCAGTTTGAGTCGTTCTGAGTCTATCTGAGTCGGTCTGAGTCGATCTGAATCGGTTTGAGTCGGTCGAGTCAGTTTGAGTCTGCCTGAGTCGGTTTGAGTCGTTCTGAGTCTGTCTGAGTCGATCAGAATCAATTTGAGTCGGTCTGAGTCAGTTTGAGTCGTTCTGAGTCGGTCTGTGTCGATCTGAATTGGTTTGAGTCGGTCGAGTCAGTTTGAGTCTGCCTGAGTCGGTTTGAGTCGTTCTGAGTCTGTCTGAGTCGATCGGAATCGATTTGAGTCGGTTGAGTCGATCCGAGTCAGTCTGAGTCGTTCTGAGTCTATCTGAGTCGGTCTGAGTCGATCTGAATCGGTTTAAGTCGGCCGAGTCAGTTTGAGTCTGCCTGAGTCGGTTTGAGTCATTCTGAGTCTGTCTGAGTCGATCGGAATCAATTTGAGTCGGTTGAGTCGGTCTGAGTCAGTCTGAGTCGATCTGAATCGGTCCGAGTCTGCCTGAGTCGGTTTGAGTCTGCCTGAGTCTCTCTGAGTCGTTCTGAGTCTGTCTGAGTCGATCGGAATCGATTTGAGTCGATCGGAATCGATTTGAGTCAGTTGAGTCGGTCTGAGTTAGTTTGAGTCGGTCTGAGTCGACCTGAATCTGAAAGGGTGGTAAGTTATCTTCTCTTCCAGTGACGTCACAGCATGCTTCGGCCTGGCACGGCGACCTAATGCAGGAAATCCTAACCTTGAACGAAAACATTACCGGTGACGCCAGGGTTACCGATACCGTAGGGTCCACGATTTCCAATAATCTCAGCATTTGAAAATAAGCCCAATACAATGTAAAAGTAAAGAAAAAGATCATGATTCCAGATTCATGATAAGAATAGCTTTGCTCTCCTAAAACTAGCCATTATAGTTTTGACAATAATTTCAGTAAACATGAGTTTCTCTATTAAATCATGGTTATCGATGTCTATGTTATTACGAGCGAGCGAGCGCAGCGAGCGAAGTGAGTCTTTTCAATATAACGGAAAAATCTCAGTATGAGCGGCCCGGCCCGGCCCGGCCCGGCCCGGCCCGGCCCGGCCCGGCCCGGCCTGTAACGCTTTTGAGAGGCTTATATCTCAGCAACCGCTGGACCGAATGGCCTGCGGTCTTTTTTGCTGGGTAGCCCCATCCCTTCTACCCCGTAATTGACTACTTTTGATACATCTCAGTGACCGCCGTGGCACGTGCCACGTGAAAAGTCAGGGGTGTTCAAGCAGTTTTGCAAAAGTAATGATTTTGAGAGGCCCATATCTCAGCAGCGGCTTGAGCGATTGTCTTGCGGTCATTTTTATAGGGTAGCTGCATCCCTTCTACCAAAGGTCGGATACTCTTCATCTATGTGAGTGACCCCCACTGCACGTGCAAAATACAACAATAAGAGGTGCCAAATTTGTTCCCATTTCAGTAACTCGGTAATTACTGGGGCGATTTCGCTGAAACTTGGCATACATGTAGGCACCCACCAGGCAATGCATTCCCATGTGTTGAGTTAGGGTGCTACTGCACGTGCGCACGTGCAGGGGGCGTTTCCAGATCTCGAGAACGGCTGGGCCGATTGCGCTCAAATTTGGTACACGGTTGGGGACAGGTTAGTAGGGTGCCGTGCAAAAGTCATTTTGGACCCCGTTTGCACGTGCGCACGTGCAGAATGCCGCTTCCAGATCTCAGGAACGGCTGGGCCGATCGCGTTCAAATTTGGTACACCGCTAGCGACCGGTTAGAAGAGTGCTTTGCACAAGCCCGTTGGAAGTACCCTCTCGCCCTGCTGCAGCTGCAGGGCTCACTATCTCGCTCGCTCGTTCTTCGCCCAAAAGGCGTTTTACTGGTATAAATAAACTAATATATGAGGACAGGAGATCCGTGGTTGTAACCCTGTGCATGTGCCGCATAATGGCTCAGCTGTCCATGCGCTTCTAAACCAGGAAGCAAGCAATATTGACCTAACAAGCTCGGCTATCATAGGACGTGGGTAATGCTCATTCAGTAATCTGTGACCCTAGATATTCCCTCTGAAGATGGTCTGGTCGGACTGATACATTTTTTTTCTCACTGTGTGGCATTTGGAGTACCTATGTGTATTGCAATGTGCAATACAAGTTAGGTAATGGTTTCCCAAATCTTACTAATGCAGCATGATGTAAAATGTAAAGGCTTATTATCAAAATTCCCTGTATTGTGTTGTGTTGCTAACTGTGGTTTCCTTTTCACAGAAATTCCTACCAAGATGTCACTGAAGGAACTTTTTGATCACATCAGCAATGATGACCTGGAGGCCGCAAAGGCACTTCTGGCAGGAGGCCAAGTGAAGGTCAATGATGCCGATGAGCATGGCATGTCTGCCCTGCAACATGCCAGTTTTAAGGGCCTGCCCAAGATGTGCCAGATGCTTCTGGACCAGGTATTATACAATGCACTGTTGAATGTTGCTGGCTATTGTTGCTGGCTATTGTCAGCCTGCTATTGTATTGTAGTTTATGTATCAATTAGGTTTTTGTGGTTGCAGATGTATTTGTATTTCCTACATATCCCCACCCGTTGGATTGGTAACTCTTCTTCAGTCGTGGTGTACACTGCACATCATCTGTTGGTATTCTCTAGCCTCCCACCCCGTCCACAGGGCGGCGACGTCCACTGGGACGGCCACGAGCACGGCTACACGGCTCTGCACTTTGCCGCGCTGTCGGGCAGCGAGCCGACCGTCCGCTGTCTGCTGGCCGCCGGCGCGCGGACGGACCGCACCAACTCAGTTCACCGCACTCCGGCCCAGATGGCTGGCTTTGTCGGTACAGTAGGTCTACTAAAAAAGTCCCCCGCTCCAGAGGCGGCCGGCCGGCCGAACCCCCGGATTCCAGCCCCGACTCTATTGCGCAGGCCGCGGCAGCGACACGGGTCAGGTCGCGGCGCCCGGCGAGTGGGTCAGTTGGCGGCGGTCGGCCGTGGAATGAGGACGCGGTGTGTGGGGCGCAGAGATGCCGCAGTGCAGAGGAGGGGAAGATAATGACTCTGCACGATGCCGGAAATAATGCCTTTGTGATCTAAATTAAACACCTGCAGTGCATATCCTCCCTTGCCCCATTCCTATTTTATCATAATCCTTCAATAAACTGTAATGGCCATTCAGCGCAAGCAAGCAAACAAAACAACCCGTTTAGCGGCGACATCATCTTGGATAAAAAAGCGACAGTCATGATTAGAATAGACTTGGCGCGAGGACAAATCGAGGGGTATAACTATATGTATCACATACCGAGTATTTTATTCCCATTTAGCGAATTAAGATTGGGGATCTTGTCCAACAAGTCAGCGGCCGTTCTAGACACAGAATAATGCTTTGTATTCGGTCACATCATTATCTGCAATAATTCGAAGCGATATTTAACCCTCGCCGGCCGAGAAGAAGGGGTGGATGCCGCCACCATGCATTTTTTGCGGTAGCTCAAAGCACACTGATGATAGAAGGCTGACATTTTATATGCCTTACATTTCATTCAAGCCGGATCACTTGACATCAACCACGTTTTCAGGTCAGGTCACTTAACTATGACGTCTTAGGTAAACCTCTGCACGGTTGTCGGTTATAAAATGATGCAATCCGCAATGCACTTTGTGTCGTATAAGCATAATGGGGAATTATGGAAACTGTTAATTTGGCATCGGAAATGATATGAAACTATACCTCAAGCACATGAAATCGTGACTTCATACATTCTTGGCAAGGTCTAATGCTTCACTTTTGCCTTGTTCACCTTGCGTGACATCATTTATGACGTCACTAGGGTCATAGGAGCGTTTCGTCAATAACTCCCGATCAAAATGAGCTAGCCAGTCGGGACAGCCATCAATGGACTTTGCAAGACTTTGTTATGCAACATGTCCTCCTTTCAACAGCTTCGTGACCTGCGTTGCCCTAACATGACATTGACCTCAGGTAAACATGCTAAATTGCTTCACCTAAACAAAAAAGCATATACCTAAATCGACGCGTCTGAGAACAGAAAACACGATTGTATCGAAATGACGATAATGCGTCTAGTTATTTACCAAGAACCGATCAAATGCCTTGGGCCCTTGACCTGCCCTAAGAGGTCGCTGATATTTTAAAATGGGGTGCCAGTCGCTGCGTCACGTAACGACGCAAGCGCTCGTTTTTTTTTCCCGCGAGGCTCTAGCAGCTAGCTCAATTATAGGAGCTAAACATGGGGTCGGGGAATCGCTCCCTTCTCAGTCACTATTTGGCCGGGATAGTATTTGCAATTATTGTTAAAATCTAGCATTTTAAGATTTCAAATGACCCATTTTTTCCCGTCCAATTTTTCAATTCAAGGTCATAACATCAGGTTACGTCAAGTGACCTTACCTCAAGGAGAGTTCCTGTGCTCATCATATCTAAATACACCGACTAACCGATCGCTTCAGAACTTTCAGCGATTTTAATGGGCAACAGTATATGTATTTGAAACGTTTACTTTGCAAGTTTGACATTGTTGACAGAAAGGCCGGGTCAATTTTGAGATCGCTCAACGGCTCAAGTCAATGGGAGAAAACTGAACTGCGCTTTTTTGGACGGAACGCATAATAAACACTCTGAAAACATGTGGTGCTTGATGAGATACAATACTGGATGAGAAAATTGTTTGTTTTGTTGGGGGCCATCTTTTCCGGTCTAAAAAGGCCCTTGCAGAGCTATGACATAACTATGCTGTGGTGTAGTGATTGGGTTGTGCGAGCCAGCGACAGTGATCTGCGGAAGCGAGACTGTTCCTGTGGGACGATTGCCTTGTCGGGACGGTCCAGCCGTCTCCCAAACGGTCACCCGAAGAGGATTATGTGTCCTGGACTGGATCCGACATCAACTACAGGTTGGCTGGTGGGGTGACCTCCAGTCCAGAGGGGTAAGCATGAAGGCTAGGGGCGATGCGGATGGGTTTTTCCTGAGGATAGCGAGGACGGAAGGAATCTAGCACCCTTGAACCTTCCTTATACCTACTGAATGTATCTCAGGCTGTTAAATCTCCTAAGCGTATTTTTTTTTCTCTACATCGTCAAGGTGTCATTAACAAAAATATGAAATTCGGGAGGATAAATTAACCAGCGCCCAGCTGGGGGTCCTGGATTTCCACGTCCTGCTGGGGGGGGGGGGGTGTTTGAACACCCCCCCTTCTAACTCGGCTCCTGGGCCACGTAGCGATACGCGGAAGGCGGCGTTCGAAAGAGCGTCAAAAATAATGAGGATTTCACTTCGGTCAATTTTTTGGTCAGGTCAAAGGTCAGGTCACCAGAGGTCATTGAAGGCAAAATTTCGCCGATTTCCAGGTCGAATGTCGACAATTTCCAAGAAGCCAACGCATAACTCGGGAACCAATAGAGCTACAGCGCCGCGGAAAATCGTATTCGATAGCCCTATTAACGCCCTTTCTGAGTAAATTTCTCAGATTTGACCTAACGTCAACGGTTTTGCCTGCAGGGGGCAAAAACTGCAAAAAATAGCCGATTTTTTCGGAAACCGTTTTTCTGCAATAACTTTTGACCCAAGCCTTCTACGAGCTTACTTTTACCGGCATCGTGTTCCTCTCGTCAAGACGCATCGAATGAACTATAACTTGACCTTGAAAGGTCAACTTGAAAATTTGACCTCAGGTCAAGGTCATGACCTGACCGGAAAGGGTCATGTTGCATATCAGTCGATCCGTATCGTCGAGCTGAACACATCTAAGGCGTTTTCATTGCTCTAGCATGCCTCTATCAAAAGTTATTTGCGAAAAACTGTTAGATACCATTCGTGACCTAAGATGACCTCAGGGCATAAACAGGGGTCACGGACACCATTTTCATGTTCAGTGTGTCTAAACCACTTGTAATTCAGTGTTTGGGAGTGTTTATAATGTCTTTCGTCCAAAAGAGGCGCATTTCAATTTTCTCCCATTGACTTATAATGGGGAGGTCGCAAAATTGACCTGACCTTAGGTCATCGATATCAAAATTCTGAGATATACATTTTGTTCATGCTATTGCTCTTAGCAATCGCTGAAAGTTTCAAAGCGATCGGTCACTCGGTGTAGCTATGACAGACATTGAAACTTTTTATGAGGTGAGGTCACTTCAAGTGACCTGGTGACCTGACCTTGAATGACCTTGGTCTGAAATTTTTACAACATGTGTAGAATTGATGTATGATAAGGTGTACCAAAAACGGCCGTCGTTTTTGAGATATTCGCGAAAAACCACAAGGGGGGGGGGGGGGGGGGGGTGTTCAAACACCCCCCCCCCCCAGCAGGGCGCGGGTTAAATGTAGAAATTGTGGCCAACAGAACATTATCAGTTGCGTTCAACATACTCGCAAGCATGTTCACACACCCAGCTTACATATGAGCCATTATTTTTGATAGACATGCTTAAGTTATGAAATCATCTGAAGTGTTTGTCAAGTTCCACGATACGGATCTAATATCCTGCTATGCATTATGACTATTTCTGGTCAGGTCATGTCTTTGAACATAGGCCAAATTTTTCAAATGACCTTTAAAGATCAACTTTTGATTCATTCGAAGCGTTTTGATAAGAGGAACACGAGGGTGGTAAAATTAATTTCATGCAAGTTTTAAGCTAAAAACTTTTAAGAGTTTGTGGAAAAGCAATTGGTTTTCCCATAACACCGATGGTGGCAGTTGTTGTAATTTACATGCTAAGCCGTTGACCCTAATTAAATCTGACAATATTATTCAGGTTTCAGACATAGCGGTAAACGAGCTGATTGTTGTGTTAGGTTAGTCTCTTTCGGTCAATTTCAGAGTGGGAAGGATGATAGGAATTAGGGGGAGACAGGGGGCCTGGGCGGGAGTCCTGGACCTCATGCTCCGCTGGGGCCGAGCCCATCACGTGGGTTGGATTGCCCTGACACATGGATAGCCCTGGGCGGTGTTTCACGGCCCCGCGCTGCAGCACGCTGCGCTGCGCTGCTGCATTGTTGCGGCGGTTGATATCAATTCGGCTCCACGCTAGCGTTGCGAGCCATAAACGCGGGAGCCAGGGGGGGCAGCTTGCCCCCCCCCCCTCCAACTCTGGGGCCGTGGGGGCGGTGCCCCCACAGCTTTGAGACGGAATACCACACTTTTTTGCAATGTTTTCTTTTTTGTTGAAAAAGCTGAGGGATGAAAAATAAGTGGCCTAAAACCGGTGAGAAAACTAGATTTGGGGGGACCCTAGGTTGATCTCTATTATGGTGTGCCCCCAGTCTGAAAGTAGTTCCCGCGTTCCTGTTGCGAGCTTCCGAGTCTGTTGATGTTTCCATGGAAATTGGAAACCCAATGCACCGGTGCGCGCAACGCACCCTGTCTAAGCAAAATTTTACCATCGATGACCTCTAGTGACATGACCGCTGGCTATGACCCGATCCAAAATTGGCTGAAGTATTTTTTCTTCTTTTTGCTACTTTTGACGCTACTTCGAATACCACTTAAATGCCCAAAGCTGAGTTATAAGAATGATGCTATTGCTCAATCCCCATTTCCCCTCCAACAGGGCGTGAGAGTCAAGGCATTCCTGTGGGGCACGGGCTAACAATGACTATCTCATAATCATTGTGGCCATGAACATCTACTGCCATTCTTTAACACCGGTTTCGCTGCGCTGAGCGGTGGCCGTCCCGTTTGTTGGATTCTACAGCTGGCTGGTGGAAAGCGTTACCGGCCGCCCGTCTACCGCCCGCGGGCCGGACCGAGCGGTCCCGCTGACCCTACCTGACCTGAGCCCGGCGCGATATGGGACAGGCAGACGGGGGTTCGGCTCAGCGAAGGCAGCGCCCACTGGTGCTGGGGACTTTTTTAATAGACCTACTGTACGTGCGACTGGTCCGTGTTTAACAAACAGTTTTCCCTTTTCGACGCATTGCTTTTCAAAGTTAAAGCTTGATATTTGCTTGTGTCTGCGGCAATTGATGTGCAGGGCTTATCTCAATTGTGGCATGTCTTTAGTTTGACCTCAGAATTAGATGGTGCATCATAGGACGAAATTTTCATCGCTTTATCATAGTGATGTCCGCCATCGTCAGTTCCTGTCGGGCTAGTTACGGCAGGGCGGTCGGTGTCGATATTGGACGTCGGACTTGGGGACAGGTGGGTTGGGTAGCATTCTGTTGATGACAACCCGCCCACCTCTCTTTTTTTTTGTCCTGAGGTGATTCGACTGTTCTTCCCAATTTTCATTGATAACGCTCATAAATGATGCGCTGGTCATCATAATCAACATCTCTCTAAAATCGATGTTAGTGTCACACGATGTGAGTGAGGCACGTCTATCTGCCCATTCCGCCCGCCCACATTCCTGTAATCCCGTCAACATTCACATTCCCGTAGTTCACCATCCTGCTATCAAGCCCATCCACCGGCTCCACCCCCGTCCACTGACAGCAGTGCGCTCCTCCCCCACCGTCCCTCCCCCTCCCACAGTGGGGAACGGTCGACCAGAGCATGCAGATCCATCGATCTATTGGGACAGGATGGGGCCGGGCGGGGCTGGGGAAGAGCACACATGACCGAGGGAGGTACTGGGCGGGGCGGGCGGCAGCGGGGGAGGGGCGGGCGCCCCGACACAGCTCGGCAATGTCGCAGATTGCCGGTGACTCCCTGAGGGACCGTCGTGAGGGAGGGGTGATCCTGTTACGGGAACGATCGGGCCGCCGCCGGACAGGCAGTGGTGGGTGGATTGGGATTAGCTATTGGACGTTTGATGGGACACTGGTTAATAGAGTTATGTTGACCGTCTTACTTTTGTGCTGGATAAGAATGTTGCTCATCTCTAGTCACGGTCATCAAAAAGTTTCACACGGAAACTTTTTGCGGGCTCACTTTTAAGTTTCGAGATTTTTTTTCTTTGAACGATGCCCATTAATTACTACCAAACTTGTGTGAACCGAGCAGCTTTGTATTTTCCGCCTGTTTGCATGTAAGTAATACTTTCAATGTCTTTAGAACTTATCCGTTCATTTTATTCGTCCGCTTACAGTAAAATTGTGCTTCGTTCATTGAACAGACGTTCCCTCGATCTTCCATTGACAGCCTCTCTCCCTTCCGTCTAGGTAACCACCGTGTGGTGGCGCTGATAAACAACTTCATCCCCCGGGAGCTGATTGACTACTACACGGTGGCGCGGGGCCAGGAGACGGAGCCCAAATTGCTGCCCTCGTTGGCGGCGCCCACACACCACCTCCTCATGCAGGTCAGAACTTATCACAAACAGTCGTGTAATAATCGAACCGGACAGCTGAGATGGAAGGAGTGTGTTTATGACGCAAAATAGTCGATAATAGGATAGCACTTGGTCATCAGGATATTCCTGGAGATAATCGATCAGGTGCATATCTGAGTTCCAAGACAAAGCTCGCGAAATAATGTTAGCTGGCGAAACCAATATTATGCAGCATACAGTTAACAAATAGTAGTCGCTAGGTACTTCCTTTGAAGTGCACCAACTCGCGACCTATGGTGGTCGACTGGCCTTACCGTCCGGCGTGTGCTGCGGACTGATCGCTCCTCTCACCTCTGCTCCATACTGACCATTCCCTTCCGATCGCCAGGTGAATCTGCACCCTGTACACATCGTCAACGTGCTCCGTCAGTCGGCCCAGCTCTTCAGCCACCTGACACGCGTCTCACGGGTCCTGGAGCTCATTAGCGAACGCGAGGTGCGCAAACCCTCGGGCGGGAACGACGTGCTGGCCGTCAAGGCACACTACCTCTCCTGTGTTCTACGCTCGCTCGACGAGGCACGGCGGGCCGAGCTGAAGAAGCTGGGCAGCGGGGAGGGCGAGGTGACCGAGGTCGACCAGAAGGAGCTGGCAGAAAAGGTGTACAGCCACATGAGCCGCGCCTGGCTCCGCTGTAACGACTCCATGGTGGAGGAGTACCAGGAAAACTACCTGCGCGGCTGTATCAAGAGCTTCCCGTGTCGCGAGACGCCGCTCTTTCAGCAGCTGGTGGCGAATCTGGCGCGCGCGCCGCCGGCGGCCGTAGAGACCAGCGCGCTGGGTCTCCTCTCGGCGGCCATCAACGGCCAGCGCGCCTTCCAGGACGAGAAACAGTGCTTCGCGTGCGGCGAGGAAGGCGCCACCAAGCGGTGCGCGCAGTGCCGCGGCGTGCAGTACTGCGGTCGGGAGTGTCAGCGCGTGCACTGGTTCACACATAAAAAGTTCTGCGCGGTGCTGAAGCAGCGAGTGATCGAACAGGAGCGGCGGGCGGCGGCGGCGGCGGCTGCTGAGGCTGCTGCCACGGCCGGCGGGGAGGCGGCAGCGCTGCCGGCCGCAGACGGGGCGGCCACCGTGCCCGAGGGCGAAGACGATGACCCCGGGCAGGGGCCGGCGCAGGCCGCCGGGCAGGGAGCGGCACAGGACGCCGGGCATGGAGCGGCACAGGCCGCCGGGCAGGGAGCGGCACAGGACGCTCCTCTGAACCAGCCTGTCGCCGGTGAGGCCCGGTAGTGTGTCCAGGACTGGACGGTGTCATTTCGTTGTAATGTGTCAGTGTCATCTGTGTGCGGCGCGATCTGCACTCAGTGTTTGATGGTAAAACCGGTACGTGCGAGCAGAGATATTGTGACCGGCCATATTTCATGTGTCAACACTTCCAAGCGGAATTGTCAGGCTGTTGTGATGGTCACTAAAAATGCAGCCAAAGTTCTAGAAGCGGCATTTGACAACGTGGGGCATCCTGCGTGGCTTCCTGAACGCTGCGACTGAACCATGTGAATGTGCTGATTGTGTCACGCTTGATGTTCGTATGTGTAAAGAGCGCAGAGGTGCGTGCCTGCCGAGTATATGTAGGTCGAAGTCAGCACCCGCGATGATCTTCAGAACTGACTTACCAGTGACCGTGCTAGGGAAAATGACAGATTCGTGCTGTTGTTCCCGGCATTTGCGGGTCATTCACCTGCCCGTACTTGTATGTAGACCGGCCAACTGCAATATACGGTCACCCATTCGTTGTGAAATGTGTCTTTGATGCAGTCAGGCACGTACAGCATAGAGCATGCATTTGGATGATCGTCTCCTACGCTACTCGGGGGATGTGAGCTTATTTGAACTGGGAACTCTCCTCAAACGCAAGATGAGCTTCCTACACAGCGCGCGCGCATCCCCTGCCAAGACTGGGGTAACCCAGGATCCCGAATCAGCGTTTGCCGTCAACATGAGCCATTTACGAACTGCCGAGTGCTAAATATATCGACCTCCGGCTCTGTTTGGAACCGTTGTCAATCACCTAATGCCGGCAATGATCTCGGACCTAGTTAGCCGGAGTTCAGTGATAACGGATCTCAGCGGACAATCGACTACGGAAAATCCACGCAGAGTGCGGAAAATGTTTTAAACGCTGCGACGGTTAGCGTTCTCCGCAGCGGTATTCATTAAAGGCAACCTTGCTTTTCAAGCCATCGCGGCCGGCGGCTTACATCAAAGACAACCCTATCGTACCACGTCCACAATCGATGCAATACAGTTACAACAGCTTCCATTTTTTTTTGCTCCTCGTTCCGTCAATTCTATAGGTAGGAACCGTAAGCTACGCTCCCTTTCGAGGCCAAGGTTGAACCATTGAGTTTCATCAACAACTGATAATGGAATCGCTGGACTTGGGTATACCGTAACTGAGTCTGATTCAGCTCACGGATAGCTTACGGTCACCATTTAACGCCACGCTCCTCTCGAACAAACAACGATACACAATGCACGAATGGCACATGGATATATATTTCCTACAATCGACTATCGTACTCAGGTATAATGCAATTCGAAGTACAGACAACACATAGACTGCGCGGTGACACGCACTCAACAAAGAAAACAACGTCTTCACCACCACGCGGGCCACACTAAAAACAATGACCTCTCTCCCACACACACAGCGCGCCGAATGAACTGATTTCGCGCGGAGTCGCCGCCGACTCCCGCTGTACGGCCCCGTCATGGCGGCCGGTCGCGCGCCAAAGTACACCCCGCCGCCGAGACACACCGCGGCGCCCCGCGCGCGCGCAAATTGTCCACCGAAGCTCATCACCACAAAAATAGCAGCAGCGGGTCGGCAGTAGCGCGCGCCACCCGCACACATACACACAGGCTCACACATCGGCGACACAACTCAGCATTACACCGTGCCCCCGGTCACTCTCCCCACCCATCACACACGGTAATGCCAGGCTGAGCAAACGGGGCGCCCGCCGAGCGGGGGCGGGGCAGGGGGGCGGGACGGGGCGGGCCGCTAGCGAGATCAGGGCCCGACGCCCGGCCTATGTACACGGGGCCTCTCACTGACGGAATGCTCATAATACTGACGCGTCGGATGGCCGGCCGGACGGCGCGCACGGCGGCGGCCGCCCGGCCGGCTGACGTCATGAGAAGAGATAAAATAGGGCGAGAGAGGGTGAGGGAACGGGAGGGGACGGGCAGCGGGAGGGACGCACCCCGGGATGAGACACAACGCACGAGCGAAATACGTAATGCACTTATGGAATATCATGCACGAGCCAGGCGCTGCGCGCGGCCGGCGCACGCGGGCCCATCGCTCATAAAATAGCAGCTTTGTACACAGAACACTTGTGCGGCGCCCTTGTCGATTGGTCGCTGCGCGCGAGCCGGCTGGCCGCGCCCCGCCTACGCTACCGTCCCGCGCCGCTGCGCCACCGGGCGCGCCCACTCTATGTACACTAGCGCCACGCAGCGGCGCGCGGCAGAGTCAATAGGTATCACATGGGACGCGCTGCGCCGCGGCTGGCCACAGCGCCACGTGCGGCCGTCTGCCACAGTTCGGGTGTCACTGGCTGCCGTTAGGTGTCGCTACTGTTGATGCTGTAAGGAGTGCGAGGGCACCGCGCCCTGAAAACAAAGACGAATGTCTGTCAGTGAGAAAGGAATTCGCCCAGGTCACCGTACCATGACGAATCAACTGAGCCGACTAACGGCATTACCTTCACATCCAAAAAAATCCGTCTTATTTATGGGAGGAGCTCGAAGGTCCCACGAAAATTATATCCGAATACAATCACCGGAAAATGCGCAGACGTTTGAGTCACAGCGCTATTACCATTCGAGACACTCCCTGCAGTCCAGTTCTAGAAGTAGCCCAACTTGGTTATCATGCAGTAACAAGTAAAAAGAAAAGAAAGAAAAAAGAAGATATCGTACTAGGTGCTACGTACGGCGTGGCTGACGTTGGTCACGTTCATGTTGAAGGGGATGCCGGCGCCGGCGGCGGCCGGGTGGAGGTGGTGAGGGATGTCGTCCCCCTTCTCCTCCTCCCGCCGCTTCAGGCAGGCCGCCTTCGGGTTCAGGTTACGCTCTGCGGAGAGAGGAGGGGACGGGCCGTGTCAGCGGGGTGGGACCGACACTACGGTGCACACTGCACAGGCGCGGATACAAGGGGGGGGGGCCATGGGGGCCATGGCCCCCCCCCTTGGCCGGTTTTTTTCAAAAATAAAATAAAAAGTTAAAAAGTTAAAAAGCTGAAAAGGGGGCCTCCTGAAAATAAAGTGGCCGAAATCCGATGAGTTTTTTTTTTTAACCTACCCACTTAGTTATTTCTTAGAAGACTAGCTGAGAAGACTTCTTTGTTAGAAGATTGGTAAAGCTTTTCATAACTTGGAGGTCTCTTATACTCACAGAGATGACCACTTTTACAGGGCCTCCTAACCTGCACAGAGGGCCTCCAAGCCTGCACAGATGTTGAGATGTTGCCTGAACAGCTAGATAAGCTCAATAGACGCAGTTTTTTTTGGGGGGGGGCCAACAAGTGGGAAGATGGGGCCTCCAACAGGTGGGATTATGGGGGGGGGGGCCTCCTGGTTTCTAATGGCCCCTCCCTTGGAGATTTTCTGGATCCGCCCCTGACACTGCACAATGGGCAATAAACAGTAACACGATAAATTGGAAGTGGGAGTGAAGCAAACAATGTAGGAAATTAAGTTACGATACGAAAAGAATTATGTCTAAGCTTATTGAGCGACGAAACCACGCAAACATTATTGCAAAGAATTCCTTCCAGTTGCCTTGCGCTAAGTCAAAGGAATGCGATCGGTTGTTGCACTACAAAAAATAGCCAGTGAACATCCTTTCCGTTACTATGTGCATTGTGCACATCACCAGAGGAATGCGATCGATGATTAAGTGGGAACTCCGTGGGACAATATGTGACGGCGGCGTCCGTTTGTATGACCACTCGTCAAACGATGCGCCATTTTATAAAAACACCTAGCCATTAATACCAAAACAAAGAGCTCTGGCACCAAGACAAAAATCTGAAACGCCAAACTACATATAGCCGGCCGATACGGTGTAACAAAATCCGAAACAATGGCGGCCACAGGAAAACTCTTACGACACTCAGCTATCCACAAAATTACCTCGCCAGGCACAAAGCCCACTTACAACAAAAAATACGACAGGTGCTGTCCAAATGATCAGTCGACTGCGGACAGATTCCGGTAAATTTCACCGAAAAACGCCACTGATTAGACATAAGCAGTAGTGGTGTCAATTTCAGAAAACGTATGTCCAAAGTCCGTCCAATGTCCAATGCTTACGTCGACTGTCCGTCCAAAAATGTCCAAGCCAGCCATTTGTCCAAAGATGTCAGACACCTACGCAATAGTTTACACTCAACACTGTTATTTAATTTGCTTTTCATGTACCGTTACCAGCTCAAAAGTGTCAATCATATTGAAAGGTGAGCTTTCTAATAGCCAATCAATGTCAAACACGATTAGTAATATTACTAAGTGCTCGAGCGAGGAACATATTGAATATAATTAGATAAATAAAAGAAGTTGACCTTTTCCTCGACATCAAAAATGTAAAAAGCCGAAAGCTACGAAACAAACTGGTTAGATCATCACTATCTAAACCTATCTGCCCTGGAGGCCCACGATGCAACATGTGTAAATCAGATTTTTCAGGTGATTGTACACAGAAGAACGTCGTCTACAGGCTAAATTGTAAGTTGTGTGAAGGAAAGGGTGACGACGGCACATATATTGGCGAGACAAAACGACCTGTTCGACTAAGATTTAACGAACATTTACGAGACGCCTTGAGCGCATCCGAAGGGACCCCGATGGGAGACCACTTCCGTGAGCACCACCCCGGCGCGCCGCTAAACAAATCATCCCTTCCTCTTCAGGTTCGCGTCCTTTATCGCTCCAAAGACCACCCGGACAGAAAAATCGCAGAATCCCTACTTATAAAAGCAAACCGCCCGCACATAAACTCAAATCTTTCGTCGTGGCCAATCATGTAAGCGCCTGTATCATGTGTATCTTGTGAGTGTGTAGCCTTTTCAACTCAATCGATTAATATGTGTATGTGTATATTATTTTGTTATGTGTGTGATGTACATCGGCGTTAGTGTACATACCTTCCATACGATGTGTGTTTGACAGCTACGTGTACAATTGTATATTATGTATGTTACGTACATCGGACACTATGTAGACAATCGGTCTATCAAATAGTTTGCCCTTATGAGTAGCGCCTTTCCTAAAATATCACGATCTTCGGTTTTTGAAAAATGGCAGACAGATTATTCACAGGATCGTCTTTCAACATTGTTATCACGTTGGTTTGATAAAGGCCAGTGGCCGAAAGCTCACCGTTTTTTAAAATATATTATTCGGCTTTTTACATTTTTGATGTCGAGGAAAAGGTCAACTTCTTTTATTTATCTAATTATATTCAAACACGATTACTTTTTAAAAAAATGTTGAGGTGTAGTAAGCGATTGTCCAAAGTTGTCCAAAGCCTGCTGCCATTGTCCAACCGAATTCCGAATTGGACATTGGACAAAATCGGAATTCCGAAGACTCAAGTTCCGATTGACACCACTAATAAGCAGTCACCACAGATACCCCGATAGCCAACTGATCATTTGAACAACACCCAACACAATCGCTTACGGGAAGGCAGCGCACACAACAAATCTAAAAACAAACAAGCTGTTTCAACA